CACAGCACAAGCTGAAGGTAGAAATGTGTTTGTCCTTCTGCCTTCCCAATGAGAAAAGCTTTCCCTGGGTTGCTGCTGCCCCTTCATCTTGTGCTCAGAATGAACAAACATGGAGCAGGCCTAGGTGAGGACATGAGCCTGGTCAGATGCACAGGTTGAAAGTGAGTTGCCTAATCTAGACCACCCCATATTCAGCTGATCCACAGATGTGTGAGAAATACATGCTCTATTTAGTATAACACTAAGATGTTGAGATTCTTTGTTATGCACCATTTTTCCAAAAACAGCCAACCGATACAAGCAACTTTTCTCCTTTTGGCTTCATCGGTCCCCTAAGAAGGCTATGTAACTTGTGTCATCAAATTTCCTGTATAAAATCACTCTTTGCTGTGAGTTCTTTCTCTGGGAGAAGAATTCTGAGAAAATAATGATTTTTCTGCTTGAGTCAGAGTTATGTTCATGCTGAGAATTAGAAAACCTGAATGAAATACAGAAAACTTCTTTGCTAAAGAGCTGCCAAGTCAACAAGCATTTGATGGGCCATGATCTCAGAAGAAGGAAAACACAAGGGATGAGCTGACATTTTGTGAACCACTTTTCCCTTTAGGAAACTTGCTGAGCATTTGGACAGAAGGCCATGGGTTAAGAGGTAGAAAAGGAAGCAGAGTCTCTGGAGCTGAACAGACAAGATGTTGGAGATTGAAGTTGCCAAGGCAGCTGCATTGGAGGGGCCAAGATGCTAGATAAAAGCAAAACACAGCAAAGAAACTCTGGAGAATTCTCTGGTTGTTCAGTGGTTAGAGCTCAGTGATTTCACTGTGGTGGCTCAGGTTCATTCCCTGGTCAGGGAACTAGGCAAGTCACGTGGCACAGCCAAATAAAAAAGAAATTCTGAAACTTGAATGATATTTTAAAGCTGTTGAAAGAAAAAGAAATGTCAATCTAGAATTTTATATTCACAAAATTTTTTGGTGGGTTTCTTAGGATTTTCTATACACAAAGCCATGTTGCCGCTGCTGCCGCCAAGTTCCTTCAGTCATGTCCAACTCTGTGTGACCCCATAGATGGCAGCCCACCAGGCTCCTTTGTCCCTGGGATTCTCCAGGCAAGAATTCTGGAGTGGGTTGCCATTTCCTTTTCCAATGGATGCATGCATGCTAAGTTGCTTCAGTCGTGTCCAACTCTGTGAGACCCCGTAGACCAGGCTCCTCTGTCCACAGGATTCTCAAGGCAAGAATACTGGAATGGGTTGCTATTTCCTTCTCTGCAAAACCATGTTATCTGCAAATAAATATAGTTTTACTTCTTCCTTCATGATCTGGATTCCTTTTATTTCCTTTTCCTGTCCAATCACCCAGCCACCACAATTTTGCAAGAGATAAAGAAGGCAAGAAGATTGTAAAGGAAGAAGTAAAACTATCATTCACAGAGGTCATTACTATATACAAAGAAAATACAAAGAATCTACAAACAATTACAAGTGACTTTAGCAAGGCCACTCACTAGGTACAAAGTCAATGTACAAAAATCAATAGAATTTTTATACTAGAAACAAATATAAAAAATCTAAGAGTAAATCCAAGAGAATATAAACTTTTACACTTTCCTGTAAAACCACAAAACAAGTTTAAAGAAACTTTCAAAAGCCCTAAAGAAATGGAGGGATACACCATGTTATACACATGTAATACACCACGTTAATGGGCTGAAGATTCAACATTTTAAAGACACTAAATTTTCCCCAAACTGATCTATATGTTCAATGGAAAGTCCAACCAAATTCTAGTACTTTTTTGGTGTAGAAATTAAGAAACTGATTCTAAATGTTTTATGAAAATGCCAAGGGCTTCATTCTGCTTGGCTCACCTTGTGGGCAGGATTGAGACCTGCTGTCTTAGGGCCATGGGAGGCACTGTGTATTTTTTGCCCTGACTGGATATGTAAACAGGGGCCAACCCACTATAGCATCCCCCACCTCCCCATCAGAGCAGAGAGCCTGCCTGTCTCTTGCCATTGAAAATTTTCAACTGTGAGTCAGACATATCTGTCCATTCTGTCCTGCAAAGGGCATATTTACCAAATTTTCCAAGTGACCCTGGAAAGGTCACTGATAGACATGAACCTCCCCTTGAAATGTGGGGGTAGTTGGCACCTATAGTCTCAGGACCCCAAGAGAAAGGGGAACAGTCCCATTTTAGTAGCTGACTATACAAACACATTGTTGTTGTTTAGTCACTAAGTGGTGTCTGACATTCAACTCTTTGTGACCCCATGGCCGGTAGCCCAGCAGGCTCCTCTGTCCATGGGGTTCTCCAGGCAAGAATACTGGAGTGGGTTGCCATTTCCTTCTTCAGGGGGTCTTCCTGGATCAGGGATTGAACCCATGTCTCCTGCATTGGCAGGTGGATTCTTTACCACTAAGCCACCAGGGAAGTCCCATACAAACACATAGAGAATGCCTATTACATGTGTGCTGTGATACTATTAGAAATTACTGCAGTATCGATTATGTTAAAAATCGTGAGAAAGTAAGGAAAAGCAAACACAAGGTATTCTGTGCATACAGACCACTAGCAGCAAAGCTTATATTTGTGCATTGGCAGAGATTGGAGGTGAAGTCAAACAGGCAACATTTCACTACTTTCTTTTGGGGAAGTTGCTTCACTGTGTAAGAAAAGAGAAGATACCATTTAAGTGTTAGTTCAGTTACACAGAAACAAGGCTTGAATCTGCAAGTTTAGTAGTATTCAGGTGAAAATGATAACTGCTTGATAACAGTTATCAGTGACAAGCAGAAGGGCTGCTGGTGACTTTGATTACATCTTCATAGGAAATCGATGGCTGTGGTTTGTGGGAACTTCCATCTTAGTGAAGTTTACACTGACACCTACCACAACACAGTAATTATAATGGATCTGCTAGGTTTACAGGCAAAGATTTCAGCCCTATGGGCTATGCTTTAGCCATGTGCTTTCACCATTTCTTACCCAAAGTGAGAGCCCCAAGAGCAGATGACCAAAACCTGTCCACCACTTGGTACCTGGGCGGGCTGTTCACAGCATTCTCCTGCAGGTGTGAAGCCAGTGAGTCTTGATCCCCAAGAGCCTTCTCTTCCAAGCCATGCTGCCCAGGCATCCTGGGGCTGTTCCACACTTACACGCCCAACCCAGTTGTCAGACTATGCTATTATATTAGGTTGGTGCAAAAAGTAACTGCGATTTTACATTGTTGAACTTTGCCGTTTGATATTGGAATACATTCTTAAATAAATGTGGTTATGTTATACATAATTTTAATGTGCATTTCTCGCTTTATGTTTTTTTGCTAATGATATTATTTGCTGTATATTTTATATTTATATAGAAATGACTATAGAAATGATGTTACAAAAAAAGCAGATTCGAGTGATTTTTTTTTTTTTTGTTCAAGTGCAAAATGGGTCGTAAATAACCAGAGACAACTCGAAACATCAACAACACATTTGACCTAGGAACTGCTAATGAACATACAGTGCAGTAGTGGTTCAAGAAGTTTTGCAAAAGGAGACGAGAGCCTTGAAGATAAGGAGTGTAGTGGGTGACCATTGGAAGCTGACAAAGACCAATTAAGAGCAATCACTGAAACTGATTCTCTTACAACTACATGAGAAGTTGCCCAAGAACTCAACATTGACCATTCTACTGTCATTTGGATTTGAGGCAAACTGGAAAGGTGAAAAAGCTTGATAAGTAAGTGCCTCCTGAGCTGACCGAAAAAAAAAAAATCATCCTTTTGCAGTGTTGTCTTCACATATTCTACATAACAACAATGAACGATTTCTCTATCAGATTCTGACATGTGACAAAAAGTGGATTTGATATGACAACTGGTGACAACCAGCTCAGTGGGTGGCCTGAGAAGAAGCCCCAAAGCACTTCCCAAAGCCAAACTTCCAGCAAAAAAAAGGTCATGGTCACTGGTGGTCTGCTGCCAGTCTGATCCACTACAGTTTTCTGAATCCCAGCAAAACCATTACATCTGAGAAGTGTGCTCAGCAAACGGATGATACGCACTGAAAATTCCAACATCTGTAGCCAGCACTGGTCAACAGAAAGGGCCCGATTCTTCTCCATGACAATGCCCAACCGCCTGTCGCACAACCAACATTTCAAAAGTTGAACGAATTGGGCTATGAAATTTTGCCTCATCCACCATATTCACCTGACCTCTCACCTACTGACTACCACTTCTTCAAGAATCTCTTGAAAACTTTTTGCAGGGAAAACACTTCCACAATCAGCAGGAGGCAGAAAATGCTTTCCAAGAGTTCATTGAATCCCAAAGCACGAATTTTTATGCTGTAGGAATAAACAAACTTATTTTTCATTTGTAAAAATGTGTTTATTAATGGTTCCTATTTTGATTAATAAGATGTGTCTGAGCCTAGTTATAATGATTTAAAATTCATAGTCCAAAACTGCAATTACTATTGTACCAGCCTGATATTTATTGTGAACCAACTGAAGTAAACCCTTTAGACAACTTGTCTTCTCTGCCAGGCAGAAGGTAGAGAAACAACAGCAGAAAAAAGTGTAGGCTGAACATTAACACATCATCAGCTTTCCAAGTTTCCACGGCACTCCACACATGTACAGTTACGCTTTCACTAAAGAGACTATTTCTTCTCAATGTCTGAGTTTCCAGTCCAATTCAAGACTGGGATGACCAGGAGCCAGGATTTTAAGCCCAGGCAGCCCCCATGGGCAAAGAAGGAGAGAGTAAGTCAAGAAGGGCCTCTCGGGCTGCTGAGATGTAACCCACCAGTCACACGACTGCCCAGGCCAGGGCTCTTTTGTCCGCTCTTCTCTCCTATACATCAACATACATATTCCCCCAGCTCAGGGTGGCCCTGCAGCCCCGTGAGATGCTGGATGCAGTGTTCAAGCTTGTCGCTTGGCTTGTGGCAGGCATGGCTATGGGAAGAGAGAACTTCTGGAGCAGACCTGAGTTCCCCGCCCTGGTTAGGGCTCAGTGGTGCAGCAAAGTGCATGCCAGCGTTTCACCAACTCCTTGGGTTTGCTAAGCATCTCATTCCAGTGCTCCAGTTCTCTGCCGCGGGTGTACATGTAGGGGCCCACCACCACCCGGCCCAGCTCGTGACTCCCTGCGGGGGAGGGAGAACATGGTCATTCTCTGAAGAACAGAAGCCCCATCATCTAAGCCATCCCCAGGGCCTTCCCTCTCTCTTACTCACTACTCTTAAAAGAAGTAGCCAGCCCCCTCCCTCTTTAACAGCCTCCAAAGGGGTCCTGACTTTGCTCTGGAGCTGGAGCTGATGGGGAAGGGAGCCCAGGTAAAGAGCCTGCCCTTTGGTGTGGGCACCCACTCTGCCCCCCATCCTCCTGGTGGGCCATCAAACTGCCTCACATCAAAGAGCCGAGGGAGGAAGGGGCCCCTCCAGAAAGAAGCCCTCTTCCCTCAGTCAACTTGTATATTCAGCAGGAACATTCAACAATAATTTTCGCCTTTTACCGACTATCACAATGGAGAAGGGGCCTAAGCTCTGACCCATGAGACCAGCTGACCTGACAGCTCTGCCTCAGTGACAGTGGACCCTGGAGTGAGGGGCAGCGTGGGATATTCCACCCTCTCATCCACCCTGAACCTCACCCAGGACCCTCCAGGCTTGTGCAGAGGGTACATAAGGACCCACAGCACCAGGTCGCTTGGCCAGCGCAGGTAGCTGTGCTGTCTCCCAACCTCTCCGGCGATTTGCCCCAGGACGGAGTAGCAGGGGCCATCCTTTAACCTCTTTCTAGGGCGCTATGGACAATGACACCAGATTAAAGCTGGGTGTGAGCTCCAACTATCTCACTAGCAAGCTCCATGTCCTTGGGTAAATAAATATCTTAGCCTCTCTGAGCGCTAGTTTCCTTAGGCACAGAACAGAAACCATACAGCTCCCTCCAAAGGGTCCACGCTTCCTGAATGCACAGCAGCCCCTCCTTAGCCCAAGGCCCTCAGCCTGACAGTGCGGGAGCAGCCTTACTGTCCCCTTCGGCACTCTGCAGCACGGTCAGGCTGAGGCTCGCAGTGTCCAGCTCAGCGGGGTTGGCTTTGAAGCTGAAGGTCTCACTGTACACAGGGTTGGTGGAGCCCAGCACAGCCGACGTCTTCTTGCACTTGACAAACTTGTTGTGGTTCATCAGAGACACTTTGACAAACACACCTGAGGGGCAGGACAGACTGCAGGCTGGGAGGGAGAGGCAGGGGGCCCAGCCTCCTGCCTGTGGGAGCCTGGGGTGGAGGGCACACGCCTCGCCTGGGTGCCAGGACCCCATTACTCACAACTGCTGCAGCCAAAGGGCGTTACAAGAGGAAACAGGGTTGATTAGCGTACTGCCTACAGCCAAGGAAATGCTCAGCTCCCTTCCTCTTCCTTCCTCTCTGCCTCCTGAACGCACCCGAGGTTTGGCTGGCCCTTGTTACTGGAGCCTGGCACCACACGCCCATCCGTCCCCATTGTGGGGTGGATCCTGCTTGCTGGGTGCCCAGGCCTCCTGGGGCCCTTAAACACCCCATTCAGAGATCAAGTTTTTTGGTTTTGGGGGGGGGGAGTTGCTATTAGATCAGTTTTGAATCCACAGTGGAAGGCTGAATGCCAGCTTGCTTATAGTGACCCAAATGCAGAGATGCACAAGGGGCAGACAGCCACCCCCTTGCTGGGGGCCCCACAATGGGGCTGGACATTTAGGGTGAGCCAGAGCAGGGTCCCCATTCCTCCAGCTCCTGAGTTCTAGCTGAGTGTCAAGCTCTGCATGCAGGGACACCCTGTTCGCTGCTCCCTGCCCTGGGGGGAGCCCTTGCTTTGCAGAAGGGCAGGGCTGGGGACAGGCAGCACAGTATAGCAGCCGAGGCACTGCTTTGGGCAAAGGGAAGGGCAGACTTGGTCTCAGGGTTCTTAGGGGTCTTGGTGAAGGCCAAGGGGATGCAGCCTCGGGATCAACATAAGGAAGCAATTTCTCACACCCCAGTTGTGCCGAGAGGGAGGACATGGCTTGGGAGGCAGCAATGCTCCCGGTAGCACATGCAAGCAGAAACTGGATGGCCAGGGTTGAGGGCCAGACTCTAGCTCCAGGCTCCAAGATCATGGGGTGGGCCCTGCCCCAGGGGGAAACCTTACTGACAAAACTCGAGTTCTCACGGAGCCGGAGTCCCTTGGCTCGCAGCACGACCACGGTGAGGCGGTTCAGACGGTCATTGTAGCTGAGGCAGAACTGGAGGTCACCAAATTCGGAGGGAGGCTGGAGAAGCCAAGAGGAAAGCACCCCAGGTAGGTACTGGAGGCCCCCATGCCTTCCTCCTTCCCCCTGGCAGGCAGACCCGGGGTACTCATGACATAGCCACACTCCCTCCTTGAAGCTCACCCACCATTTTACAGATGGGGAAACAGGTCTGGGGAGTTGAAGGGGCCTGCTGAAGATCACACAGTAAGGACCAGAGCTGAGGGATTCAATCCCAGGAATGGGGAACTCCAAGGCCTATTCTGAGTCATCCTCATGGGGTGTGGGGGGGTGTTGGGGGAAGAGTGGGTAATTTCCTTGGCAGGTGCATTTGAGGTGTCAGCTTTCATAGCAATCTGATCTGGATTGGAATCCAAACGTGGTTTTTCTAGGATGCTCCAAGTAATCTCCAGGGCAAAAGAGCCTCAGGTGCACCTCCATTGTCCCATGCAGCTCTGGCCTGGGCCCACCACCGCGAGTCACACTTGTAGGGGTGATGGACAGTATTCTGCTGGGCCACACCTGCTGGCTGTCTATGGTAGTCAGGCTCATAGTAGTCTGGCATGTGTCTGGTGACCCTAACCTTTACCTCCAGGCTCTCGGCTTCCAGGTCTCTCCAGAGGATGTGCCGGCAATTGCCCGCCAGTGTCTCCTTCTTAAGGGGGAACAGCACCTGGCCGAGGAGTTGATGCTTCCTCTGCCTGTCCACGAGGTACACTGAGAATCTCAGCACCCTCTGGGTGACGCTCTTGCTGGATACCTTGGAGAGACGAGGGCCCGGCTGGAGTCAGGTAGGGTCAGGGGATGGGAAGGTGTGATATGTTGTTCTGGAAACAGAATCTTTCCATGAGGGGTGTCTCAACCAGGAACCTGCACACCCCAAACCCAGGTATCCTCCGGGGACCCTTTGCCGCAGTGGGGCCAGTGTCCCCAGGAGGTGGGAGGCTGTGCCAGAGCCTTGCCACACAAATGTGGTCCCAGAACCAGCAGCACCTACCACCCCTGGGACCTTGTTAGAAATGCAGGACCTTCGGCTCCACCCAGACCCACGAAGCAGAATCTACCATCTAACAGGCATCCAAGTGAGTTGCCTACACTAAAAGTGTGAGAGGTTCCCACACTGGAGCCCAGGGAACCCCCTGTGTCTGCTATCTGAATTTGGCACCTGAACAGTCCTCTCCCTGAGACTCAGTCTCCTCACCTGTAAGATGGGATAATCGTTCTTACTCTCTGGGTTATAAAACCCCAGTCAAAGGGCCTGGCTTATGGGAGATGGTTAACTAAATTTGATTTTCTTCTCTTTCTCTTCCTTAAAGAGGGAAGCACAGAGAGCCCAGGGTAAGGTTGGTGCAGGCACAGGGCAGGGAATGATTCAAGCCTCCCCACCTTGGATTTTGAGGTTCCCAGAAGAGCAGGTTCACCTGTGAATTCTCACAGCCTGAGCCCAGCAGGACGGCCTTGGGCTGGGCCCTATGCCACCCCTCTTCTCAGGGCTCAGCCCCGGAAGAAGGTAGAAATTACACTCTTCCCAGTTGCAGAGAGGCTTCTCCTTAGCTTGCCAGTCAGCTTCCTGCCCTGCTCTTAAAAATGTTTGTCCAAGGCCTCTTGGGAGCTCTTGACTGCTGGCTTCTCATAAGGGCCCCAGTCACCTGCTGAGGCTCCCAAGGCCACTGTGCGCTTGGCTCAGCGCCTCATCACCTCAGCACCTCAGGACCCTGAACTCACCTGCCCGCCATGCTGCAGAGGTACCAGCTGTCTCAAGATGGCTCTAGGGTCCTGTGCCCCTCTGACAGGACGGGTGAGTTCTGGTCCCCACCCCAAGAGGCCTGAGTTGAGGGGCGTCTCACCCTCCACCTTCCATGGATAACCATTTCAGAAATCTCATCATGTTCCAGGGTCTTGGCTGCCTTCCTGAGTCCCATAAGCCAGGGCCTGGCATTCAGTGGGTGCTCCAAGAATATGTTTCTCTTTCTCCCCTCCAGGCAACCTGTACAGGAGGAGCCCAGCCCTCTGCCCCCTCATCCTTCAAGTCTCTCATCTGCCCCCACCATCAAGGCGGGGTAGAGAAGAGCCTGTGGTAGGGGGTCCCTGGGGGCTGCAGGGCCCTGGTGAGCATCGGAGGCTGGGGCTCTCCTGCACAACGTCTGTCCTTCCCAGGAGGCAAAGGGTCCCGGACCTTTTCAGAGGTCATACCTGAAAGATGAACTGTTCGTCGAACTGTGGACTGGTGGTTCTGTGTTTGGTCTTAGACTGGAGGAAGCGCCGCTCATCCGGCAGCAGGTGGAGCTTCACCAGGAGGCCACAGTTCTCTGAGCGGGTGTGCAGCCGCTGCGCCTTGATCAGGCCCACCAGCAGCCGCTCGGCCTCCTGCTGGTATTCCACAGAGAACCACAGCCGTCCCAGGCAGCCCTCAGGGAAGTCAGCCTCACTTTTGTCCTCTGGGATCTTGTAGAGCTCAGGGTTGATGGTCCCTGCCACGCATGCATCTCCTACAACACAGGGACTGGGAAGACTGGCAGGCCAGGGGAAGGCAGGGGCATGGGGACTGCAAGCTCTGGCTCTACCGCCCCCTCCCTGCCCAGCCCTTCTTGGCTGAGTCTTGACAAGGTAGTTCACTGGCTTCTCCTGACCACATTCGCCCCAGTCTCTTCTCCAGACTAAACAGAGCCCCTCTCTCTAGTGCAGCTCTGCAGGACGCATTCTCAGCACTAAGGCATTCTACATCCAGGCCTGCTCCTCCTGGGACTCCTAGCAGAGGACATAGTATTCATTCAACCCTTGTCCCCATGACTGACTCCCACCCCCAGAGATCAGGGCCAGCAGTGTGGGTGCAGTGCCCAGCATCTGGCCTGGCTCCTTTCTGTGGTGTCCCAGAGGATGTCTCAGTGATAAGATGTTGCCTTTTTTCTTCCTCTTTAAATTATAAGGGCTTAGCTAATTACTGGTGGTTCTTAGGAAGGTCTTCAGAGCAAGGAGGTGGGCAGAAAGCTGTGTGCCCAGCTCCCACCATTCTGCTCTCTGGATTGGCCAACCCATCATCCTGGAGGAGGACCCAGCCCAAGTGCTGCACCTGGGAACACTGGGTTTCCAATCCCACATTTGTTGCTTACTGCCTCTGTGACCAAGGGCATGGCACTGTTACCCTCCTAAGCCTCAGTTTATTAATGTGTAAAGTGGGGTGATTCCCCCAGCCATGGTATAACTCCAAAATGGCACATGACTAGCCCAGACTGGCATGCAGCAGGCATTGGTAAACCAAAATACGTGGAAAGAGTGGTCACTAGGCAACTCTGGCATCCTGGGTCCCATCTGGACTCTTCAGGAGCCAGGCCCATGAAAGCAGATGGGTCTGGCCTGGCCTGGGCACACCATGACCCCTGGGCAGGCCCTGGTGGGCACACTCACCAAGATTGCTGCTGGTGGTGTGGGGCAGGAGCTTCGGGGCTGGGTAGGGGTCCTGTGGGACCTGGGCCCACTCTCCGCTGCTCAGGGGTACCCAGTCTCGGCTTTGGAGGGAAGGGGGCACCACAAATGGTACACCTGGTGGCCTGTCCAGAGGCAGGAGATGACAAATAGTTGGCAAGTGAATGGTATGGCTTCAGAGTGCTCAGCCCAGAGAGCTTAAGTGTCAGGAACCAGAGGAGAAAAAGCCAGCAGAAGCTGGGGGAGGCAAGAGCGCCGCTTTCTGGTCCCACACCAGGGGACACACACACAGCCAGCTCCTCCATCTGCCCACAGCCGTGGTGAGCTGGAGTAGGAGCGCAGCTCCTGGAGTCAGCCTGCCTGAGTTTGAATGCCTGTTCTGCCACTTTCTAGTTGTGCTATCTGGACTTACGTACATTGAGCCTTAATTTCCTCAGCTGGAAAATGGGCTTCATGACACCTGCCTCATAGCTGTGGCTCAGATTCTGGGGTTTCTTTGTGATTGCTCCTGGCCTGCTGACAGCATAGAGGAGGTGATCCATAAACAAACAGACCTTTCCTTCTCCTCCCCACTCCAAGAGAAACTCCACAGGGAGGGCCTGAAGCAAGGCCAGGAGCTCCCTCGGCCCCACATCCTGCCTCACCTGCTTGCCTGGGTCCTGGCATCCGGGGGGCAGATCGCGTCTCCCTGTGCGCTGGAAGCAGCTGTGGTCCCTGAGAGCTCCTCATAGGTGAACGTGGCACAGAGTCTCTTCCAGAGATAGTAGCTCACCCCAATCAACAGCAGCAGCAGCAGCAGCCCCCCAAGGATGCCCCCAATCACCAGGGCCACCTGCTCTGGGGGCAGACACCAGCAGTACTGTGATGCCTGGGGAAAGCTACTTCCCTTCACACCACTGGCATTCTGGAGACAGAATTTGGGTAGCAACCCCACCTCCCTGGGTTGGATCCCAGGAATGACACAGAAGCAGGGCTCATGTCCTCATGTATCTGCTGGGGAAGGGTGCTGCTGGCTCAGCTCTGCTGAGTCTCAGGGGAAAAGCCATTGCCCTTGAGGTCCTAGTGCCCTGGACAGGGCTGTCTGGTTCTGGACTTGGAATTTTGACAAAATGAACCATTTTTCCTTGTGCTTCTGTGTAGAAATTAAGCCTTCTCTTAGAACCTCCATCTTCCCTGGACTCCTGTTCAGGCTTGAGGGTGGCGGGCAGCATGCGCTTAAGGAAAGCCAAGGAAGGGATGATGCCCTGGGTGGCATTCAGAGCCCTATTCTTTGGGTCCTGGAACCTGCTGAGAGGTTGGGCTCTTGCTTTAATTCTGTAACTTTCTCTAAAAACCCCTCCCTCCCCTCAGCCTTCTATCACAGCAAGCTCACGTAGAGCGGAGTTGGTGGGAGGTGTTGGAGGGGTGTGTGGATGAGGATGGGAGCAGCGAGTGTGAGAAACCAAGACACACTGGCATTTTGCTGCCAGTAGCTGCTCCCACACTTGCCCAGCCCTGGGAGGCTTCACTCTGAAATAACTGAGAGAGCTCTGCCCCTCCATCCCGCACTAGGCGAGGAATGTCCCTCCTTTGGGTCAGCTTGAGGCCCCTTGCTCCCCCGACCCGGGGATCAAGACTGGGTTGGGCGGTGAGAAGGAAAGACACCCACACCTCCTGACCCGCAACTATCTACGTGGGGTGGGCCTCAACTCTGTCCCCGCACCCTGCTAGGAGCGGGAAGCGGAGCAGAGGCGGCGCCCCAGCGGGTGGCAAAGGGGCGCCGCGCGGCGCCGGGGCATGGGAGGGGAGGCGAGAACCCTTACCTGCCATGGGGCTGCTCTGGCCGGCCGTCGGGGGCGCGGGCCCGGAGCTTGATCTCGCCGCTGTCTGCGCCTTCAGCCGCGGCCAGGCGGTTTTGAAGCGCTGAGCGGGAAGGAGGGGGTGGGGGTGGTGGCAGAGGGCGGTACCTTGTGGCGCTTGGGTTAGCGGCGGACGGCGCGAGGCACAGACCCAGCTCCCAGAGGCCGCGGCTCCGCCCTGCCCGGCCGGCATAGTGGCTCAGGAGGGGCGCGGGGTCCGCCCTGCGCTGCTGGAACCCAACGGCTCCGCTCAGGGCTGGGGGCCTGGGGCTCGGTGCGGTTAAGGCGCAGAGCTAAAACCTCCTCTGCTGGCTTTTCACCCCTGACGACCTTGTCTTGCGCTGTGCTCGTCCAAGAATGCCCTAAACCGGCGTGCACCCGTCCCCCACCCGGTCAAGGATGCTCACTCTAGGCACCCGCGCAACCTCCCTGTAGGGAGCTTAGACCTCAAAGAATCTGTAAGTGGAGAAGGAAAGGAAGTTGTTTGTGGGGGAAGGAGGTGGGTCTTGCTATTTGGGGGCTTTGAAGCTTGTGTCTAAAGACAGAGCCGGAGCCTGGACCTTGCTCCTACGCGGCACCAGCTGTGTAGGAGGGTTCCCTTTTCTCCACACTCTCTCCAGCACCTGTTTGCAGACTTTTTGATGATGGCCATTCTGACCGGTGTAAGGTGATACCTCATTTGATTTGACTTGCATTTCTCTGCTAGTTAGTACTGTTGAGCATCTTTTCATGTACTTTTATATGATAGTTATATGTTGCCTTTGGAAAAATGTCTATTTAGATCTACCCATTTTTTGATTGGGTTGTTTGATTTTTTCACATAGAGCTGCATGAGCTATATGTATATTTTGGAGATTAATTCCCTGTCAGTCGCTTTTCTTGCAAATATTTTCTCTCATTCTGTGGGTTGTCTTTTTATTTTTTGTTTATGGTTTCCTTTGCTATGCAGAAACTTCTGAGTTTAATTAGGTCCCATTTATTTATTTTTGTTTTTATTCTCATTACTCCAGGAGGTAGATCCAAAAAGATACTGTTGCAGTTAATGTCCAAGAATGTTCTGCCTATGTTTTCCTCTAAGAGTTTTATAGTGTCCAGCCTTACATTTAGAACTTTGATCCATTTTGAGTTTACTTTTCTGTAAGGTGCTAGAGAATGTTCTAATTTCATTCTTTTACATGCAGCTGTCCAGTTTTCCCAGCACCACTTTGAGACTCGTTTCTCTACTGTATTTTGTTGCCTCTTTTGTCATAGATTAATTAACCATAGGTTCTGCCTCCCTCTTTCTTATAAGAACCTTTGTGATTTTGTGGGATCCACACAGATAATCCTTGATAATCTCTGCATCTCAAGGTCCTTAACTTAATCATATTTACAATGTCCCCTTTTCCAGGTAAAGTAACCGGATTCCAGGAACTAAGGAGTGGACATTTTTGGAGCCATTATTATGCTGAGCACACTGTCTGGGCAGCCCTCAGGGAGAGATGGTTTATATTCTCCTCCCTCTTGCTGTCTAGAGCTCTGGACACTCCCAGGCTGGGACCAGACAACTAGCCAGGCCCTCGTGCCCCCAGATGGAAACCCTCCAGCCGTCTTATTACCACTGCACACCTGCTCCCCCTTGACCTGTGACTGTCCTGCCTGCCTGACCATCCCTCCCTGATGGGCATGGCACAAATTCAGGTTGGCCACCTCCACAGTTGGGCCTGAGTTTCCTGGGGATCTTCTGAATGTGGGATGGGGAAGTAGCTGCTTCTGGAAAAGGCTATGCCTGTGGCTAGTCTATGCCAGGCTTAGAGCTGCCCATCCTCTCCCAGTCCTGTGCTATACCATCCCAGGGCCCCCTCACCCTCCTTGGCCTCCTTGTCTCACCAGTCACACCCAAGCAGTCACCAAGTCCTGCCAGCTCTTCCTCCTCCATCCATCTTCGTCTCCATCAAGAACTTTGCCCAGGTCTTCATTACGCCTCACCTCCTCAAATTCTTCTCTGCAGTTTAGATTCGATCTTATACTCCTGCCCTCAGCTTATGTCTTCCAGGCTCCTCTCTCCATTCTCACCCACATGGACACCCAAAATCCCCCCATTCCTCTGCTGTGCTCAAGGTCCAGACTGATGGAACTATTTCTGGCAGTGCTGCTACTGAACTGGATTTGTGCATGCGTGAGTGTGTGCTAAGTCACTTCAGTCATGTCCAACTCTCTGTGACCCTATGGACCAGAGTTCACCAGGCTTCTCTGTCCCTGGGGATTCTCCAGGCAAAAATACTGGAGTGAGCGGGTTGCCCTGCCCTCCTCCAGGGGATCTTCTGGACCCAGGGATCAAACCTGCATCTCCTGTCTCCTACGTTGGCAGTCTGGCACTGGGTACTGTCTCATTATACTGCCCTCTCTTGATGGCTCATACTGTGAAGACTCTGCAAAGTCGGAGACCCAGGTTTGACCTCTGGGTTGGGAAGATCCCCTGGAGAAGAGAATGGCTACCCACTCCAGTATTCTTGCCTGGAGAATTCCATGGACAGAGGAGCCTGGCAGGATACAGTCCATGAGATGACAAAGAGTCGGACACCACTGAGCAACTAACACTTTTACTTTCACTCCCTGCCTGAGATATTCGGGCCCACTATCCTTCCCCACTGCTTATCCTTCAAAATGAAGTACTGTGACTCTTCTTCCTTGTCCAGCCCTGCAGGGACCACCCCTTTAGACGAGGAAACCAAATCCAAGTTTCCATTGCCCACCAAATAAGTGGTGGAGCTGGACCCAACACGTGGCCCTCCTCATTCCTTTCTCGTCACTGACCACTGAAGGCCCAGGCAAGGCCCAGGGGACCATTTCCTGTGGAGATGACCATGAACAACGCCAACAGCCACATGCACTGTGGTTAGTCTCCCTCAGTCCACTCTCCTGTGGAGGTTCTAAGACCAGGCTGGCCTGGAGCCAGCTCCACATAACAGAATGGCCTCTGGTTCTGGCTGCTGTCCTAGCCCACCTTCCTGTTTTCAGATCTTGCTTAGGATTCTCTGGGAGCTAGGAAATCTGGAAACAGCAGCAGACAATGTTTCTCTTTACCATGGCCAAAAGGAAGTCATATTTCCACTGGAAAAAGCATTTCCAAGGAGGTTTGCAGGAAGTCCAAGCGTTTAAAGGCCTGAAAATGTCTGCAGGTGATTAATAATTCAGTGCAATGGATGATTCACGGGAAAGGCCACTTTTAATTAACCTTAAGAATCAGCCCTGTCTAAGGAAGTGTCATCTTAGGAATAGAGAGGCCAGAGCAGGATAAAGGCCATGCTGAGAAACATGTGGAAGACTGTGTTTCTGACATTTATGTCAATTCCAGCCCGGTCACCCCACGTCCCTCTTTGTGAGGTGGGGGAGGGTTCCCCTATCTGCATCATCTTTATTCTCTGGTTTTATTAAGGTGGCCTTAGCATGAATTTCCCATAACCTCTTCTTCTGAGGACTTTGGAGGGACTATCTGTCCTTGTCATGTCTAAATGCCCCTCCTTCTCTCGCAGTCCCCCGGGTTGGCTCCAAATGTGTGCCATCCTAAGGACAACCACACAGGGTCCCAGGATGGAGACCAGAGCCCATGGCTTACCGCTGCCTCCCAGGAATGTTCTTGGCTTCCTGGCTCAGTTCTCCCTGCTTCACGTCCCCTGCCTGGCAGCCTTTTTCCTCTCCTGGCAACAGCGTCCTGCCTTTTCTTTCTTAGGAACTAGTATTTTCTCTCCTCCTTGTTCACGTAGTAACTGATGGAAGTGGATCTCTTCCCTTTCCCCACATCACCAGATCACCTCTGTTCTGGAGCTTCGCACATGACCCAGGCCACTGGGGTAGATTCAGGGGTGAGTCATGACCTAATCAGGATTAATCCTGATTGAATTTTTGTAGGATCACTCCCTTTCTCGGTGAGCATTGTTGAGCTGAAGGAGCTAAGTCTAGGGCCATTAGGACCACCTGTATGGAGGAATTTATGTGAGACAGGAGCTCAGAGAAGTGCAGGCTGCCTGATGAAGCTGTCTGGCCCCTGGTCCTGCTGTGCAGGCAGCCATCTATCCTTAGGTGGTCCAATAAATTAAACCTTTTTTTTTTTTTTCTTGAACCAGTATGAGTTTATTTCTGATATTTGAAACTGACACTCTTAATTAATTGTTAGCCAAGGCAGGAGCTGAATGATGGGGGAGAGGGGAGGCAAGCTCTATGAGGCTCTTATTCCCATTATACTCAGGTGGAAACTGAGGGACACTGAGGTGATGAGACTAAGAAGTGGCTGGTCAGGTTTGATTAGCAGGTCTAGCTCCCGGTCCCCTGAACACTAAGGCTGGGCTTCAGACAGAGCAGAAGTCAGACATTAGTAGTTGCGGCTTGCAGGCTCTAGAGTGCAGCCTCAGTAGTTGTGGCACATGGGCTCAGTTGCCCCAAGGCATGTGGTATCTTCCCAGATCAGGGTTTGAACCCATGTCCCCTGCATTGGCAGGCAGATTTTTATCCATTGTACTAAAATGAAAGTCCCCATAATGTGAGTTTTCCAAAGTGGCTGAGAATCAGCTAGACAATTGGCCCATAGTGAGAAAGAAAATTCTGGAAGAGTGGAAGAGAGTATGGACTTGGGAGATGCCTTTGTTGAGGGCTGAGGCTGTGATGTAGGACCCTTTGCAAGAGGGGCAGGTGAGTAGCCAATCTCTCTCCTCAAGCCCAGGGAGCTTTGGCTGGGTAGCTATACTCTCCCTCAAGCCCAGGAAGCTCAGGACCACTCTGAGTGCTTGCTTCAAGAGGAAATGGATTGGCCATTGGTGGGCACAGGCAACTGTGGCTTCTGGCTTGAGATGTCAGAGAGAACCAGAGACCAGGGCAAACTGCTGCTGTGTTGGGAAGTAGCTGCACTCCCTCTATTGGGAGTCAAAGACTTATGGAAATCAGGGACTAGATGAGCCACTTGCGGTGGGAATGTGAGCCTGGGTATGATGCAGA